TCTACACCTGAAGCTGATGGTACGCAGCGCTTTAAGTATGTTTTTGTATCTCTCGGGGCTTCTATAAAAGGTCTGAAGTATATGAGGAAGGTAATTGTCGTAGATGGAACGCAGCTAGTAGGACGTTACAAGGGATGTCTCCTCATTGCATGTGCCCAAGACGGGAACTTCCAAATATTTCCAATAGCGTTTGGTGTTGTGGATGGTGAGACTGACGCTTCATGGGTGTGGTTCTTTGATAAATTAGCTGACATTGTTCCAGACAGTGAAGATTTAATGATTGTATCGGACAGACATTCTTCAATATATAAAGGCCTCAGTGTGGTTTATCTGAAAGCTCATCATGGTGCATGTGCAGTACACCTTGAGCGAAATATCTCCACCCATTATGGTAAGTATGGTGTATCTGGATTATTCTTCAGCGCTGCTAAAGCTTACAGAGTGAGAGATTTTGAAAAATACTTCGAACAGTTAAGGGCTAAGAGTGCTACATGCGCAAATTACTTAGAGGAAATTGGATTTGAGCATTGGACAAGAGCTCACTGTAAAGGGGAACGCTACAATATCATGTCTAGCAACAATTCGGAGTCTATGAATAATGTCTTAACAAGAGCCAAATCATATCCGATTGTGTACATGATAGAGTTCATTCGAGAGGTCCTAATGCGATGGTTCGCAGCGAGGAGGCAAAAAGTGGCTAGGTGTAAGTCTTTAGTGACGCCTGAGGTTGATGAGCGTTTTCTCCAAGATTTGCCTGCGTCAGGGAAATTCGCGGTTAAGATGTCTGGACCGTGGAGTTATCAAGTTACAAGCAAGTCAGGTGAGCATTTTCATGTCGTTCTGGACGAGTGTCCGTGTACGTGTCTTAGGTACACAAAGTTGAGAATCCCATGTGAACACGGTCTAGCAGCTGCAATCGAGTTTGGAATAGATCCGAAGGTTGTTGTAGGATGGTGGTATGGACTTCAAACGTTTTCCGATTCTTTTCAAGAACCGATTCTACCTATCGCGGATCCGAAGGATGTTGTCATCCCACAACATATATCGGATTTGATACTAATTCCTCCATACTGTAGACGACCACCAGGAAGACCAACAACCAAAAGGATTCTATCTAGAGGTGAAAACCGGGTAAGTGCTATCATTCAAACGTGTACAGATTTTCAAACATTATGTTTTGAGTATAAGATGCGTAGATTATTAACTTATTGTTGTTGTCATTTCAGAAAAAGAGACAGAAAAGACTTATTCTGAATCAGTGCACACGATGTAGACAAGCAGGTCATAACAAGAAGACTTGCAAAAATCCTATTTAGTTCTCCTCAAAAGCTTTATGTCTCCGCGAAGACAGTGTACGTTTATGTGTGGACAATGTGTACCAAAGTGTTGTGACGGTGTACGTACGTTTAATGTTTGCCAGCGTATAACTATGTACGTTTTCTGAGTGTACGTTTTTGTTAGTGTACGTGTTTGTTGTGTCTGTGTACGTATAATCTTCATGCAATAAATGGTTATAAACGGTTACACACATTTGTATCTCAACCGTTGGAACAGTTTCGCACTACCCACCGCGTCCGTTACGGAATTTCCTTATTTAAGCCACATCTCCTCCTCAATTTTATCCACGTTCCTTCAAACGAAAACCCTTTCACATTCGACAGTTACATCAATCAAACACAAAGTCTTTCGATTGTTCTTGCTAACCGTGTGATGGACGGGTATCACACCATCTCCGAATTGTGTCCTCAGATCACTGGGTGGACAATTTGTGTATTTGTCGTGAGAGTGTTTAAGAAGTTTGTTGCGCCCAACATCTTCGAACTCGGCCTTATCTTGGCAGATAATTCGGTAGTTTCCCTGTGCCGTGTTTGTGTTTTTTTATCATACGTTAGGTTCAATTCTATATAAATCTGTTATATATCATATTCTGTAGGGATCCCGTTCCCGTATCGAGGCCACCATTGATCGTGTGCACTGGTGGAAAATTGTGATCACTTTCTTGGTCCGTAACGTCGCTGACTCAGTGAGAGCAACATCTCATGACTACGGCATATGGTTTATGGATCGGACCGTCGTTACTAACGCCTTACGAAGGGACCCAATATCGTTTTACGATTTCACTCAATTCGACTACATTTTGGAGAAAACAGTTGATAATAAAGTTTTAGTCGGTGAGATGTTTTTTAAGTTACGTTTTATTTACACATTTTTGAAATTAGAAGTTTATTTCTATTTTCTGGCCCTTGATGTAGATGTCATTGGAGCGTTGTTGGAGGTTGGCCACTTGACCGGAGACTTCGACGGTCTCAAGCTTCCTTTCAAGATCAAAGATAGATAGTAAATGTTCTTTTCACATTTGATTCACTTACACTTTTTAATCTAAACGCTGACTTGATTCTTCTTTTAATCTAATGTAGCAACGAAGTTTTGGAATGCGAAGCACACAATGAACAGGCGTTGGAATTCCAAACCTTCTTTCGGAGTCTAGGTCAGCGCAATATTGTTGTCGCACTCGTCTTCTGGCGTTTAACCGACAGAGCTAATCCTAAGGTTGTGAGTCATGGTCCTGTGTCAAAGGTCTTTGCCGATCCGGACACACCGGAAGTGGAAGAGATCAAGCAGGTCGTTTTTTAGATAGGGGGATTTGTTTTCCCCAGTCTTCTTATTATTAAAGACCAGATTTATATTAAGTATTGTAAAACTACATAAACTTGTTATCGTTTTCTAATTACTTGAATTTGTATAATAAACTATTGGGTAATTGTACGTACATTTTATACGTACAGTGTCTACAATTACAATTAATTTGCCAGTGTACGTTTTACTAGCTTTTTGGTTATTCAATCAGCAAATTGTACGAATCCCGTGTTCGTACACGAAAACATACATATATCATAATTGTCGTCCTCAAACAACAAAAACTTCATTCATTCATAATTAAGTGCCCGAAGAAGGACATACATTCAAGAAAGACAAACTATATATTAGATGCGGAAGCAATAAACTAAAAAGTAGAGCCCGAAGCATACACATGAGCCGGAAAATTGTATGCCTCATCCGTCATTATCAAAGTCATATCTAATAGAAGACACACATCTCCCTCGCGTACCAGTAAAAGAAACACCCTCTGCAGCCGGAAGTGTACGTGCAAAGGCCAACACATGCCGGTGTGTGCACATACCTCCATGAACGTTGCCAGAGCCGAGGACCTTCGGTGTGAAGGTGGCTTATGTGATACATCACCATCTCCCCCACTGCGTGAGCTGCCGCTAATGTGGGTGTCATCACCCAGAACATATCGCTGACTGGAAGAAAGTCGACATGGTTGCCAGTACAAGTTAGGAATAAGCCGGTCACGAAGCAGGCGAGAGGGTTGGATGGAGCGACGGAGTTGAGTAGTGTAATGCCGTGGGCCACCGTTAGGAAGCTGCTTGCCTGGCGGACACCTTCGAGGTATATAGCCGGGATCGCACCCCTTTCCAGCAAGAGGCTGAAGTAGGCCCTAAAGGGAGACTCCGGCTGCAAGAAGTGAGGCCATGTGATGAAGTCGTCCATCACTATTGCGTTTACGTCACTTGCTTCGACAGTGGCGGAGGGTCTCGATGGGAGTCTGGGATACGGGCAGGTAGTTGATGAGGACGGAAATCGGGTTTGGCAATTGTATTGCAAGGTACATCTCGGTTGGAGGGGTTGCGGGGAAAGCCATGTTGTTAACAAAGGAGGTTTAGAAATAATCTTCCAGTTGATGAATGAAGGAGGTTTTAGAATAATGTGAGCAAATAAATTAGTGTGTGTGATATCGTTTATATAGGGACTAAATATTGAGTTCATGTATATGGCTACATTTGGGGGGAACGCATTAATAAAGTGTCATTATTTTTAAAGTTCCTCTTATCTGATAAATGCAAGTGTACATTAATTGCAAACCGTGTACGTAAAGTAAGGAGATTTATGCGAAAAGATAGAGGTCATTCTATGAATAGAGCTTGACAGTATGCATTAAATAACCACTCCAAAACTTGTAGATATGGGTTATTACAGGTCAAATCAATCAGCATTGCATCATCATTTACTACCATCTCGAAAGTCGCTTCTCATATTTCTAGTTTTAAACCAACTAAAATACGTGTACACAGTAACGTATACCCGTGTACGTATGTCTACCCTTATTACGTTCTCTGACTAAAAGTTTTAATTGATGTCTGTCGCCGAATTAGGGGAAAAGATTGAGTTCATGTATATGGCTAAATCTGGGGGAAACGCATTAAAAATCAAATCTCTTTCTTTTGCAATTTCTTTTTAGCTGACAAAAGACAGTGTACATTAATTACAGGGATGTGTACGTAAAGTAAGGAGATTTATGCGAAAAGATAGAGGTCATTCTATGAATAGAGCTTGACAGTATGCATTAAATAACCACTCCAAAACTTGTAGATATGGGTTATTACAGGTCAAATCAATCAGCATTGCATCATCATTTACTACCATCTCGAAAGTCGCTTCTCATATTTTTAGTTTTAAACCAACTAAAATACGTGTACACAGTAACGTATACCCGTGTACGTATGTCTACCCTTATTACATTCTCTGACTAAAAGTTTTAATTGATGTATGTCGCCGAATTAGGGGAAAAGATTGAGTTCATGTATATGGCTAAATCTGGGGGAAACGCATTAAAAACCAAATCTCTTTCTTTTGCAATTTCGTTTTAGCTGACAAAAGACAGTGTACATTAATTACAGGGATGTGTACGTATATATGTACATAAATTTGCGTTTCTTTTTTTTTTTTTTTGAAAAGATAGAGGTCATTATCAATGGCTAAATCAGGTCAGTATGTATTTACTGATAATTCGTAAGCCTCTGTAGACAAGGCACCATTATCTAACATTTAGAAACTTGTTTCTCAATTTAATATAAAATATTACAATTATTTGTAACCATTCATAAGATTGAGTAGTATATGAGAAACAAGCAAGGATGTAGATAAAAAGATATTCATTACTGATAAGCCTATTTACAATTGCAAAAGCCACATATTATAACATAAAAACTTAGAAATTCAGATAATATTACGTAAGAAATCCCTAGAGAATTTGACTAATTCTTCTCGCACACCACCAGAGGTAACATACGTTGCACACATTCTTGAAGGGTCCAGATCTGATGTAACACAGCATCGCGCAAGGAGGCGTTTGAATACCACGTTCCTCAGGGTACGAAAAGGTTGTGCCGTATGTGTTGTTTAACCTAATTCCATAATTTTTTATTTCTTCTAGGAGTTCCTCACACATGTCACGTGTTTCTTCTGATTCCAAAGCGTAATGGTTGTTTGCGAACAGGCGTAGGTACACACCACCCATGTGAGCATTCCCGTCGCATATGTACAGAATAGCGCAGGCCAGGGTTGCATCGGCGTGCCTTGGTACATTCCGCTGTAAAAGTACAATGGCGCCCTTAATGTCAGACTCATGGGTAACTAGACGCAGTCCTTCATGGTAAATAGCAATCGGGTTACCAGCCTCTAGACACCTTTTGAAAAAGGGTCTATATCGACCTTCAGCGTTGATGTCATTCGGATCATGGCCTGCCGCATGGAAGTCATCGGGATCACTGCACATGCTATAAATATTAGCATCTTTCAAGACATCCGGCCTGTAGACAATGTTTCTTCCACCACGCTCTGATCTTAACAGAGGTCCGAGGTACCACCAACATTTTTCAGCCATTTTTTTGGCTATCTTGGCTAGCAAATCTTCTGGTAGATTTGGTGTAGACATTTCTTGGAATTTGGTGTTTCAAAACAATGCAATTCCTACTCTTAAATAAAGAACAATGAAGTTAGTTGGTTAAGTTATGGTTGTAGTTAATGCAATCTTACGTAAGTGATGATGCAGTGAGGGAGGGTTATCAAATCAATGTAAGTAAAGAAATAGATATCTTATTATGAGAAAAATCGACTTTGTGTAAAAGACGTACGTTATATAAGATGTACGTACACATGTTGGTTTTTGAATAAGTGTACGATGTGCAGATTGTTTAGAGAAGATAGTTATAACGATTACATAAATATTTTGAGGATCTCCATAATTAATTACGTTGTTCTAATTAGGTTGTTGAAATAAGGAAATAAGTACTAGGAAATAAAAATAATTCAACATCCAGTGATGATTACAATAAACGCCGATTACCACACTCGCGCTTGCCGTGCTCGTAGATTTCTGTTGCGTACACCTGACGGTAGGTGGCCATATCTGCTTCTTGAATATTCACCAATTCTGACATTGGGTTACCAAACGCCAGCAACTCCAAGAACTTCATTGCGTAAGGCCCGCAATCTCTTGTACTTGGGTTTTGAGCGACCATAACATTTCTCTCATAGGCAAAAGGTTCAACTGAGTACTTCGCAGGCAATACATCCGCGCACATCGCTCTCACTAGGTACGGCATCATCTCGCAGACAGGCTGCATCTTTGACCATGCAACAGACTCCCGCGTGTGTTCTATGAGAGCGTCATAGACAACTATATTCCGGGCTCTTAGGTGGATTGCCAACCCAACCCAATGATCACCTTTCCAGTTCATCGGAGCATATACCACGTCGACATCCTTGAACCACCTAAGACTAGGTTCACGGTGTATGTGTATTCCATTGGCCATGTCGTATAGCTGGTCGCCCCATTTGAACCCAAGCTTATTTCTACAATTCCTGAAGCTGACAGCACGCTTAGTAAGCTCATAAAGCAGGAAGGAGTCCAAAACAACGCATCGGTTTGCTATCATTTGTTGACCGTTCTTGTGCCACATCAAGATTGCGAGCATTTCCAAGACCTGAAATGATAATAGCATAGGCAGTCAGTGTACGTACAATTCAGGCATATTTAAAAAATGTACACAAATGTACTATTTCAACTTACCATATTATCCACCCACTGTCCTTGTGCTATAAGCATGGAGAAAAACTCGTTGTCCACTTTGCGATACCCGAAAAGAGTGTGCTTCCTGTATATCCAATATTATAATATGACTGGTTGTTATAGAAAACCAATGTATCAATTAAGGGATAATTTTGATAATGGACGATACTTACAAATTCGGACCGCGGATGACATTGGTTAAGAGCTCTAATTTGGAAGCATCAACCTTCTCCAAGGGGTTGTAAGGGACATTTCCAGCCGCTATAACCACCTCAGTATCTTCAGCTCGTCCAGGAACATCCTCCACGAGGAGTGTTGTCTCCTTAAAACCTTCCGGAAGGGCGTCATCCATCTCAACAATTATTTGCTTCTTCACTTTTTTGGGTACAACCGGCGTAGGAATTTTAACTGCTTCGACTGCAGCATCGTTGTTTGGTTCATCCTGTAAAGAAGTATTATTGTAAACAGCATGATTAAACAATTTCAAAATGTAATGATAATATTTACTGGGAAGATACTCACAATATTTTCTAGTGTACCAACTGTCGTGTCTGCTTCATCTAACCCTGGGTTTGAATCCTCTTGTTCTTCCACCCCGTCGATAATCCCCTGCTGCTCCAACACTCCCTTTTCAAATTAACGTGCAGAATTATTTAAATGTACGCATACAATCCTATGTACGTATGTTAATAACTGTGTATAATTTTAAACCAAACATGAGATTTTTACCTCCTTTACATTAGCTGCATCCACATCCATGGAGGCTTTCGTTGCCAACTCCTGTAACACCTGCATAATAGAAGATTATAAATTTAAACAAGCCTACACTATTTTATTTAAAAATATAGTTAGCTTACATTCCTAACTACTGCAAATGGTGAAGGGGGATCCCCTAGGGTGCCCTCAAGTACTGAGTCATCCACTTTACTCTCTGCAACTACATTGGGTACATCTCCCGCATCAACCTGTGGCAGTAGTTATCAACTTCATCGGCTATATACTCTATTTTGTGATGTCTGAAACAATCATTACTTATACGTACACGGGAAATAAGAAAGACAAATGTACGTACACTTACACCGGGTTCCTCGGTGTATTCAGCCTGAGAAGATGTATCTCTATCATTATCCTCAGAAATTTCTGGTTGCTCCCCAACATTTGCTTCACTCTCAAGACCGGCACGATGTTCTTCTCCCTGAAACAAATATACCATACACGTCATTCAGTGAGTACACATATGGAAAACTACATTTGACTATTAGCAGACCATATACCTGTCCAGATGTTGCAGGTAAACCTGATGGATTTTCTTCCATCTCTGTGTCAGCAGTTGGTTTTTCATCTGTCCCTCGCTGTGTACCAACAACGACAGGCTCACCACCATCAATTGGTCCTTTATCCTAAAACATAGTATACCATACACTTCTTAAGCTATATGTACGTGGAGAACTGAAAATAATTGATAATGGTACACTTATGGAAAACAGTATGTGACTATTAGCACAAGACATACCTGTACAGAGGTTGAAGGTACAGGAGATGGAATTTCTTCCATCTCTGTGTCAGCACTAGCTTTTTCCTCGGTCCCTGACTGTGTACCAACAAGGAGAGACTCACCACCATCACGTGCTCCTTCATCCTGAAACATAGTATACCATACACTTCTGAAGCCTATGTGTACGTACACAACTGGAAATAATTGAAAAAAATATTTGTACACGACATACCTGATGGGAAGGTGTAGGTCCACCAACTGAAATGTTAGCTACTCCAGTGTCAACCATATCTTCATCTCTGTTCGAAAAATCTCCTCCATCATTTGCAGTAAAACCACCTTCATTGTTGGCTTCATCCTGTACCATAGCAGACAAGTTACAGTTATTAATATAAATGTACGTACATTTAAAATACTATATATAAATGTATGTACATGCCATACCTGGTCATCTTCCTCAGAGGAAGAGTTACCATCAGAAAGCTGAGTAATCTCCGCAACTGACGTCATTATATTCTTCAGCCTTGAAGACTTTCTTGTTCCAGACTTGAATACTTTCTTTGTAGACATCTTTTTAGATGCCTTCTTCACACTCATCGGTGCCTTAACCACCGATTTATTTGGGCCCTGTGAAGCATGGGAAGTTTTGGTTGGTTCTGTCTTTTTGACCTTTGGATCTAAGGCAGCACGAATCTCCTTACGGACAAATTTCTTCAAGTCTTCTTGCATTTGTTTATTTTGTGCTTCCTGCCTCTTGAAACACCTCCTAAGTTCAACAACAAACTTCTCAAACTGGGGATCTTCAGAACAATCCTCAGCAGTGTCCTCATTTTCTTCTTCCACAACAGATTTCTGTTTTTTTAAAGAAGGTGCATTCGGGGCTGGTACATTTCTTTTCCTCTTCTTCACACCTACGATAGACCAGTTTAATCATTGATTGATCTTCAAGGGACAATAATCAGAAAGTATAAAAACAACATTTACACTCACGTATCTCTCCAAGTTGTGGTGGGCGCTCCTGCTTTGGAAATGCAGCATTACCTCCAACCCATTCTTCCTCCTTCCACTCATGACCCGCTAACAACAGTCGCTCAATGTAAGCAACTCTTGGATCCTCAACTTCATCATCCCATGACAGGGATGGAGGACAAATATTGTCCTCTGGTTTCACAAGATAGGTTACCTTAACCTACACCAATAAGTTTGTTGACCACTTAGAGAATGTACACTTACTTTTTAAATAATGTACGTACATAAACAATTGTACATACCTCTTCAGCAGCCTCACACTCCAAGATGCTGGATGTCCTGATTGCCCGCAGTGAGGCAAGATGATGGATAGACCTCTGAGTAAATGTCCTGTTAGCTTCATCATCAGGTACTAGCTTAGCAAGGGATGGGATTGTTTCGAACGCAAACAGCTGGAGTGCTAATGGGAATCCATGTAGTGCATAAGACCCATCCTTTACACACCTTATCAGTTTTTGAGCATCTGAAGGGGTTTGGAATTTTGCTATCCTCTCCAAAGTACGGGTAAAAGACACCCTTCCCCAAGGGTATTTGCAGAAGAATTGCACGTCCTTCGTCATCTCAACAGTGAACTCAGAAGGCCTTATGGGGTTATTATGGCACCCTATCACACCATCTACCAAGATTATAAGAGATAAGGCCAGCTGCTTCCACCCATCCATGGTTTCCTCCTCCTTCAGCCAGACCACCAAATCATGCACTGTTGGATTCGGCTTCTCCCCAAAATTCTCCTCAAACAGAGTTTTCTAGACACTTTGACTACCAGCTTTAACCTTTAGCACATCCGTCACGTCTTTTTTGTTGGGATATGTCCCACATTCTAGACCAGTTACCAGACTAAATTCTCTTAATCCGAATTTTATTGGATGACCGCCGAAGACCATCCACATCTCATTCACTTTACTCGTCACTAACTGACGACATATTAGTCCAAGAACAAGTTTACCTGAGAAGGAAGACTTGTTAGCAGGTATCCTAAAAAGGTCCCCAAATGGAGACTCGAGAAGAAACTTCATCTCCTCTTTTCCCTTAAGAACTTGTGCTATGTCAGAAAGGTACTCCGGTTTGGAGTACGCGTTCATCTTCGTCTTCACAGGGTACCGGTCTAGGGCAAAGAGTCTAGGTGGTAACTCTTCAACTATAAGATCTTCAGTCGGAGCCACGCTTGTACTGCCTGCAATTACAAGTGATATACAATTAAGTACGGATGTATGAATTCGTGTACGTACACAGTAATTATCAACATTATATACTCAACATCTGAATTTTGGCGGAAACAGAGATTTCCAATTCAACTTCTCAAATTTTCAAACTACAGATATAGCAAAATCCGGCAACTTCTATCCCTTTAATCAAACAAGCTTTAAGATTCCGATACACCCAAAGAAACTACAAACGGAATAATATCGGAACTTACCCAATTCCTCCGGCGGATTTCTCGGAGGGAGTTTCCTCCTCGGGGATACTCTAAGTTCCACCTTGTCCTTCTCGGGGCCTTCCTGCGTATGCTTCTTCCTAGAGACTACGTCGTTTGGTTTATTCCCAGCCATCTCGAAGGTTGGTATCTCGCCGGAATTCTCAGGTCGCCTTCGCCGGAAAAACTGGAACTTTCTCTTCGCCGGTTTTTCGAGTTCAATGCAATGCCTCAAATCAAGTAGCAGACAATTCGAACGGAGATGTCGAAAACGAAGATGGATGAATGAATTCCGAACTGATTTCTACTTCTCTCTCGAATCTGTCGGAGATGTCGAACGAAGATGATGAATTCTTCGTTTTCTTGAATTTTTTTTTTTTTTTTTCAAAACAAAAAGTAACTAAACCGCTAGAAACTAAACCGTAACGTAACTGTGCCGTTTGGTTTTTCGTCAAGGGCATTTTCGTCATAAAACGGAATAATTGCCAAAACATGAGAAATGAATCTCACTTTGCCAAAAGGTGAGATCAAATCTTTTTTTTATGTCAAACGTGAAAATTTCTTTTGAATTTATATAGTAACTCATTAAGTTCTCTCAAATTCCTTATTACTAGCTAAACTATCTCCTTTGATTTGTGCTCTCCTCTCCTTTCTACCAATCTCTTCTTCTTCTTCTTTTTCCATGGAAGACCGGCGCCTTGTCCATGGAGCTGTGCCGCCGTTGACAGCCGTTGAGAGATTCTTATACGGTCAAAAGAACGATGTCTTGTGTTCCAAGAAAAAAGAGTGTTCTAGAGACCGACCGATCGTGAAGACGAAAATGTCGATTGAGACTAGAAGCGACAACAAAGAGAACACAACGTTTGGGCCGACGAGGGAGAAACATTTGGTCCTTAATGGCGGCAACAGAAGCCCTATTGGAGAACTGGTCGCTAGAAGTGCAGCCAGAGATTATCAAAACAGTCCGAAGAAACGATCTTACAAGAACCTCATCAAAGGGCAATGGACGGCGGAAGAAGACAGGTATATATAGATAAATGTTTGTGTAAATTGATTATTGCATCTATACATGAGTCAAAAGATTTAGTATATGCGTTTGTTAATACAAACATATATGTATAGGAAGTTGATAAGGTTGGTGAGGCAACATGGGGAGAGGAAATGGGCACTGATATCGGAGAAACTTGAGGGAAGAGCAGGCAAACAATGTCGTGAGAGATGGCATAATCATCTCCGTCCTAATATTAAGGTTTCTTTCTAGATCTCTCTCCATATAACATAGTTTTTTTCTAGATCTAGGGTTCTGACATATGTCCCTCGATCTCTACGTTTTTGCCAAAACAAACAAAAAATAATCAGAAAGATGGATGGAGTGAAGAAGAAGAGAAGGTTCTTGTGGAATCGCACATGAGAATCGGGAACAAATGGGCAGAGATAGCTAAACTCATACCAGGACGGACTGAGAATTCTATCAAGAACCATTGGAATGCGACCAAGCGACGTCAAAATTCAAAACGCAAACACAAACGCGAATCAAACGCTGATAACAATGATACCGATGTCTCTCCATCAGCTAAAAGGCCATGCATTCTCCAAGACTACATCAAAAGCATCGGGAGTAATGACATTAACAAGAACAATGACGAGAACACCATCAGTGTTCTTTCTACACCTAATCTCGATCAGATCTATTCTGATGGAGATTCCGCATCGTCCATGCTTGGCGATCCATATGACGAAGAGCTGGTTTACCTTCAAAATATCTTTGCAAACCATCCGATTTCTCTTGAGAATATAGGTTTGAGCCAAACTTCCGATGAGGTAACTCAGTCTTCAGCAACTGGTTTCATGACCAAGAACCCTAAACCTAACTTGCACAACAACGTTGGAACTCATCATCAAGAGGCAGCGATCACAGCTCCGGCGAATACACCCCACCTTGCGTCTGATATATACTTATCTTATTTGTTGAATGGGACGACGCCGTCCTACTCCGACACTCATTTTCCGTCTTCCTCATCTTCCACGTCATCCACCACCGTAGAGCACGGAGGCCGCAACGAGTTTCTTGAGCCTCAAGCTAACTCTACAAGTGAAAGAAGAGAAATGGATCTGATAGAGATGCTCTCTGGTTTTTTTTTTTTTTGATAACTTGTGAATATATATTACATAAAGAGGAAAAGAGATGTTTACAATGCCAAAAAGCAGACAGTTCCAAGGGCCCAAAAAAAAATTAAAAAGCCAAGCTTGAAACACATTTAACAAAGACAGAGAGGTTAACAATGAGAAAACCACTGCGATAAAAGTCTTCCACAACCTTTCCTGTAACGACGAGCAAGGAGAGTTTCTTTTATATTCCTGTCAATCTGGGAGAAAATCACAGCGATTGTAGAGGAAATGGCATTGTGTAAGCGGTTGTTCCTTTCGCGCCAGAGAAAGTAGATAGTAGCTTGGGCAGAAATGCGTTTCAGAGTAGTTGACACCGAAGGAGATTTCGTCAGAAGCCATTGAAAGTGCAGATATTGTTGGAACAGGTGTGAAGCTGTTGGAACAGGTGTGAAGCTGTTGGAACGAAAGATCATAACGAGATTTAGTCTTTCATAATGTTATGTTACGGCCACGTTGGTCGTGGGCCATTGTTCAAGTTAAGCCCAATCTCTTGTAGAGACTTGAAGCGTGGCTTAAGTTGTCTAGGGTTTTTGGCACTTGATATAAATACCAAGAGACGGCAACATGAAGACTCGCGCGTCTAGGGTTTATCGAGAGAGGCACACATGTGTGTGTGACGTCGCCCCATCAACAAGATAGAGAGATCTTTTGATGGTTTTGTTGAGAAGCTATACTCGTCGGAAAAGACAATAGGAGTAGTAGTTTTCTTTCATTGTAATTCTAGAAAAGAGTGGTGGATACCATATAGCAATTGTAGGTTGCGGCCTTTTCTAGTGAATGGTTTCTGGACTTGGTCCCGGGGATGTAGGTTAACCGAACCCCGTTAACAAATCTCTTGTGTCTCATTTACTTTATGCACAAACGAACTCGCTACACTCTCTCATCATACAAACGTATAGAACTAGCACACTTAGCAATTTCAATTGGTATCAGAGCGGGTTCTCGACAGAGATCCGTTCTCGTTTCGGGTATGGTCCTGGACGTGTGGCTAGCAGAGAGAAAGAAAAACATGTTCATGAACGTTTAAGAAGAGAATTAATTTGGGAACGTTACGACAAGCTTCAAGCGTTTATGATTTGGGATTATCTCAGGTTCTTAGGTATGATGGATTCGAGAGTCTAAGTTTGGTGACAAAGTAACCGCCGAAAATTGCAGAGATTTAGAGGAGTGGTTGTTGATCGGAATAGTGTTGCGGAAGCATTGACGAGGAGACGAAATTTTTTTTTGAGTTGAGTTTGTTAGAGAATCTCGGCCCAGTTCCAAATTTAATCAAATTAGGCCCATAAAAAGCCCACTCTCTTAGCGAGTATATCGAGTCTTCTGTTTAAGAGAGGTTTTCAAGCTTTCGAGTAAGACAGAAGAGCTAAGGAGTTAACTGCCCGTTGAAGAGAGAGGACAGTGTATAAGGTATAGAAGCTGTATCTCCGGTGTCAAATTGATCAATTGTTGTGGGTTATGATTCGTGTTTTGTGTTTCGGAAGAACATGGGATTGAATCAGCTCGCTCTAGTTTGATGCCACGCATGTTCGTGGGGAAGAACGTGAAACACAGTGAATCTAGTCTTTCTAATTGAGTTGGATTTGTAACAGATTGGAATAAAAAGAGAGTTCGATTTCTCTTCTAGTCTTGTGAAAGATCTAAGTGAAAGAAGATATAAGGTTGTCAGCTCCGTTGGTTCCAGAGAGGATTGTTGGCAAAGAAATCGTTGTCGGTTGCTCATAGTTGCTGATCGGAATCTGGAGTGCGTCTTGGTTCTGCGTCTCTGAGGGTAAAGAGAGACGAAGATTTATGGTGTGAGGTCTTGATCTTGGCCAAGAGAAAGATACAGGCATGGTAGACATGATGGAGCAGATCCGCGAGATAAAGATGATGTTAGCAGTTCTTCATGCTTCTATCATGTTCTGCTTTGAACAATTGAAGTCTATTAGAGCTACATAGTGAAGTAGTGGTGTAAGATGTCAACGGTCAACATCCGGACATTGTCAACATCATGTGTTTCAGTGAATGATGGTCTCATTATAAAGATGATGTGTAAGAATCTTCTCTGTGAGGAAAACGAGGTCATCTCAGAATTTAATCAAAGCTTCAAGGTCTTGAAAGAAGAAGAATTCATGAAGTGATCTGATATGATTATGAGATCAGAAGGCTGTCTACAAACTTACATTGAAAAGAAGAGGATTAATAAATTTTGATCTTGGAGAAAATTCTGTTTAGACTCACGTGCAGCAATCGGTGGAAAGTTCAAGCTTCTGGCACTGCAAAAAATTGGTTATGCTATTGAGGAAATTAAAAAATCGGTGAAAAGGAAGATCGTCTCTCAAGTCATAGTTAGAATCTTGTGATCTAGAAAAGCAAAGTTTCTAAAACCATGGAGGAGAAAACAAGATCCATAGTTAAGATTAGCGGTGATGGAGCTCTCCTATGATGGGATTTCTAGTTATGAAAATTGTCTCAAGTCTTGGTGGTCATTGCTGGCATTAATTTGGGCATTTGAAAAGCAAAATCAAAATCTCTTGAGTTGGAGCTCCTGATTGAGATGTCAACACATATGAGACATGGACCTCTAAAGAAAGATTCAAGAAATGAAGTGTCTTACAGTCATGAAGTTTATCGTTGGAAGCTCAATCTCTTGAGCTGATTTCTCAAATTTAAACAAGCTGCCATTAGATCATATTTTTGGTCTTCTTTAATTGGCCATTTCGGATCTTTTCTTCTATGATGACTATCAGAAAAAGAGGTTGAAATTTGAGGATTTTTGTTTAAAGTCTCCCTCGCTGCAAGCCTTGTCTGTTGCAGTTTTTATACTAACTAGAAGATAAATGTATTAAGCGGTACTGGTGATTCTCGGTTGCAGAGAAGAAAATTGGCTTCGGGTGTATATGCTTGTCGTCTCTATTGTCGACATGTTGGCTGGCTTTGGATTTAATGGTTCTTTGGAGCAGAAATTGAGTGTGTCAGATTTTGGAAGGTCAGAAGTTTGCTTCAGTTGATAAGCTTTCTTGGTTTTGTGTTGTTGTATGTGTCTTGTCTTGTTCATGGGAAATCTACTGGTAATGAAAGGTCTCATCAGAATACTGTAGAAGACAGTAATGAAACAAGATAACATGAAAAGTCTACAAAGGTTGGTGAGCAAGGTCGAAAGAATATTCTCATGGTTGATTCTTGGTTCTTCGTTTTCTTTGGGTATACAGACCTCGGATTTTATCTCTGAAAGATGTTCTGAAAACTTGAGAATGAGATCTTTTCAAAGATATAAAGATCATTTTCTGGTTCCGTGTGGTTTGATGGAAAATCGCTCTTAAAGTTGGCTGCTCGCAGGTTTGTATCGTTCCGGATCTGTCTTGTATAATTGATCATAACTTTCAAACCTTAAACCCAAATCGTGATCCGTTTTTTCTCGTGGCTTGGTATGACTGTTGTGGATATTTTCACCAAATTTCATAATTTTCTGGATTGATTTGCTACTCCGTTTGTGTTCTGCATGAAGACAGATCAAGAAGCGTATGTTCATGAAGATTTCGTCAAGATGGGCATTTTCCATACGCTGTGGTATACTCTGGCTTATATGTTCTAGGAACAGTTTGATGGTGTAGATCTCTAAGGTATCAGATTGTTTCAAGTTGAGGAAGGCATGGAAGGCATGAGTTGACGTCATTTTCTCAGGGTGATGAACATCAGGATCTTAACGTTTTTGAGACTTTAACTCTCAGTTTCCACTGCAAATTACAATACTAAGGTGTAGATTGTGTGAAGATTCTGTCTCAGTGGAATGAACCTGATACTTGTGGATATTAAGATTGTTTCAGAGGTTGTAGCTTGTTTAACATAAGCATGGAAGAGTGAAGCGAAGAAGATCAACATTGCAACATCAAAGGAGGGAAGCGTATTTTTTTTACGGGATTGAAAAATTGCAGAAATCAGTTACGAGATAGGATCTTCGAGACAACGATTGGAGTCCTAAAAGTAATCTGATCGAGCTGAAACTTGGTAGTGAGCTTCTTGCTATTACTGTCTTGAGTGTCAACGGTGGGATTAATTTTTTGACGGTTGGATTGCGTTTTATTCGACCGTATTCAATCTGTTCCGGGCACATGTCAACTGAAGTTTCAGATCTGACCAGTTATAGTGGAGACATCAAATGGTCGACCAATTAAACTTGGAATGAAATGAAAATTTGCAAAGATATTCTAGACTTACGGAGCTAGATTCTGGTAGGAGGGCATTGGATTCGGAGTCCGAGGACAGAGTAGAATGATGGCGGTTCAGAGTAGTTATTTCGGAGACTCTAAAGCTGTGTCTTGCAAAGGTGACTTGCAAATGATTCTAGAAGAGATTGTTTCAGCTTACTGTGCCAAAGAAGTGAATTAACAAGTTACTGTAAGTCCTTGTTCGGCAGTTTACTCTTGGGAAGTCTTCAGCTTCTGTGTATTTTAGAATTATGGACAACTTGCTAGGAGTCTACTCTTTGTTAAGGCTCTAGGATTCTAGAGAAGAATTGTTGGTGAATGTGGAAATATAACAAAGGAGTTTCAGGAATCTGCAGTTTTCTTGTTTTCAAGTTGAAGATTTTTGGAATGAAGCTTATGAAGTGTCAAGAAAGAGAATCTTTCCATTATAAGTGACAGAGCACAAAATTTATGAAGCCCTCATTTGATTTAAAAGAATCACATGGCTGACGGAGTTAGGCTTTCATCATCAAAGCGATAACATGGCTTCATTGTCTGAGTTTGATCTTTCTACATACTCTGTGCTCTTTTGTGTTTGAAAAGAGGCTTGTTTGATGAAAAGAAAAGTTGTTTGCAGAAAGATGAAGAAACAAGCAGATTTCTGTTTCAGGTGGCGATAATTGATATGCATGTTTCAAAGGATGGTTTGCTGTGATTCAAAACGAAACAAGGCTAGAAAGCATGTGTGTTTTGTTGAAACATTGAGTTAGATACAACATCAGATCATTTGTCAATCAAGGATTGGTAGAGGTTATATGCTTGTCAACAAGGACAAGTTTTTGGATTCACTGCATGAGAATGGATGAGATCTTCTCACAAGGAGAAAAAGAATGTTACTCACATTAAGACTGCCAGCGGGCAATGATTGGTTGCAAATTGGGATTTAACGATGATATGACAGAAAGTTGTTAAAACAATAGTCTCAAGAACGTCACTGGATCAGCTGGTGGGAGATAGCTGAAAGGAAAACTACCAAAAAGAGGTAGTAAGTTCTGCTTTGATTAATGGTCATGAATTCAGCATCATTCGTCTTTATCTTCTACACGAGTATGTATGCAATTTTTTGAAGGCTTCTCGTATTTTTCCGCTGCGCTGAGAAAGAATTGTATGGAAGTTTTACAGAAATGTTCTGAGTTCAGACTTGGTTCTAGAAAAGTGGCTATCCGGGAGACATGTGGTATACATCCGTTGCAAATCACATCTGTTTAAAAAAAATGGTTGAAAGAACGACAATGAAATTCACAGGTTCTTGTTTCAAGGGGGAGCCTTAGAAAGTTGAATCTATGTGCTACATGTTGTTGCAATGTATGAGTTTGAGTTTCAGTTTGCAGAACTATTGGTCTAAATGAGAATGAAGCTTGTTGGGGGAGCACGGTTTGCTGCTAATGAACTGTTGGATCATGGTAAATTTGCTTGTAATTCAAGGGTTGTGATCAAGGTCAAAAGAAATATATCTTAGTTCAGATACACACAGAGAAGTTTCAATGAAAATAAAATGAAGCAGCTAAGTTTGACTTATGACATGAGCTTATGTGTTCGCTGGAAGAATCTGAGTTGTTTGTTTTCAAGATGTGGATTTTCTTTTTACAAACTCTATGTATTCCAAGAAGAAGCTTTGTGCACAGAGTTTTACCAACTCAATCAGGGAGAGATACTGGTTATGTATGAGTGAGATGTAAAACACAAGTGAGAAGACAGAATAGTTGAAACAGAGGTCTGTAACAGAGATACTGTGATTTTTCTATGAAGGAGCATCCAAGCAGGGAGAGAAAGTGATGCAGTGGTGTAGGGGGAGTGTTATCCGCCGTGTAGTTAACTCATATGGACGATTTGAGGTAAAGACTATGTATTGGTGTTGAGTTTGGTTGTCAATTAAGCAGGTGAGATTTGCAATTGAAGAGAAACGTGAAGATATTAATCCAAGGAGCAGCTTTGGTTTGTATTGATTCCTTTGATGCTTGATTATGATGAGTAGTGCTTTAAAGCCATTGATTATGTTGCTGATAAAGACTAAGCATTATGGATGGAACTAACAAGTTAGAAAGCAAAGATTGGTAATCTACATCAGACGTGGATCTTTTTGTTTTGGAGGTTCTTGTGCTATAAGCTTTGGGAGGATGAAAATCACTGTAGACCTCAAAGGGGGAAGGCGTTTCTGATAGTGGACTATGCCCAAACAGGTATAACTAAGCTCATCCTGCACTTAATGTTTTAACAGAGTTTTATCACTCAAGCAGGGGGAGATTGAGAAAGTTCCGTGAACAGATATTAGCACGATGATATAGGATTAAGGGAGAGTTTTTATATCATGATTACTGATGGGTATGCGTGCTTAACATGGAGAGCTTGAGCTGTAAAACTCAGTCAAAAAGGGAGAGATTGAAAGTGCAGATATTGTTGGAACAGGTGTGAAGCTGTTGGAACAGGTGTGAAGCTGTTGGAACGAAAGATCATAACGAGATTTAGTCTTTCATAATGTTATGTTACGGCCACGTTGGTCGTGGGCCATTGTTCAAGTTAAGCCCAATCTCTTGTAGAGACTTGAAGCGTGGCTTAAGTTGTCTAGGGTTTTTGGCACTTGATATAAATACCAAGAGACGGCAACATGAAGACTCGCGCGTCTAGGGTTTATCGAGAGAGGCACACATGTGTGTGTGACGTCGCCCCATCAACAAGATAGAGAGATCTTTTGATGGTTTTGTTGAGAAGCTATACTCGTCGGAAAAGACAATAGGAGTAGTAGTTTTCTTTCATTGTAATTCTAGAAAAGAGTGGTGGATACCATATAGCAATTGTAGGTTGCGGCCTTTTCTAGTGAATGGTTTCTGGACTTGGTCCCGGGGATGTAGGTTAACCGAACCCCGTTAACAAATCTCTTGTGTCTCATTTACTTTATGCACAAACGAACTCGCTACACTCTCTCATCATACAAACGTATAGAACTAGCACACTTAGCAATTTCGGCCATGAGATGACAGTAGATCAATCAACAAAGGAACAAGGCGGCAGACCAAGTCTATGGAGAACCAGAAACCAAACTTGTTCCGAGATAGTGCAATGGAGGAGTAAATGGTCTCTTGACTCGTCATGCATATTGCAAAGGCAGCATAGAGGACTAGTGTTTAGTCCCCAACTAGCAAGTCTTGACCTGACTGGAAGTCTATCCAGTGTTGCAATCCAGAAGGTGAAAGCCTGCTTAGGAACAGAGTTTTTAAACCACACTGCTGGATACCAATATTTCCTGTCTTGAGCGGGCCGAAAGAAGTTCCAGGTGTACTTAGTAGAGATATGTGATTTCTTCTGGTTTGCTAAACCCCAAGAGTAACAATCAGGACCCCTAGAGGGGCTGGGAGGAGTAGTCGCAAGTAACTGATTCCGGAGATCAATAACATTTACGTTCCTTGATCTTGCAGAGGGAAGAATCCAGCCGAAATCCCCACAAACATCTGCAACAGTAGATTGAAGAGGAATACCCAGGCGACACGGACCAGTATTACCAAAAATATCCCATAGAACTCCAAGAGGAGACCAATTATCAAACCAGAAACTTGCCTTTTGACCATCACCAAGATTGCAGCTCATTAGAGCTTTTGCCATTGGCCTCAAACCCAAAAGGAATTTACAAATCCAACTTACATTTGCATGTTCAACCACAGTCCAATAGCAACACTTCTGGTTCTATTCAAGGTAGCAATATCTGCTTCCCATTGTTCTAGCTACACCCATGATCATGTGATGTTATATGATCATTCTATCTTTCTCGTCCTTTGTTTCATAATTTTAGTCCTTGAATTTTCTTACAACTTTCCATAGAGTTCCAAGCTGCTTCTCGTATCCAAATAATTATGGTTTGTTTGCTTCGTAGTCGAATTTTTTCTTCGAATTATATTTAAATCCTTCATTATTTTTGTTTTTTTAGTTGTTTTCATCTTACGTTATATATGTTGTCAAGTAATTAAGTGACTAATTTAGACTTAAGATTGTGAAATTTATTCCCACTTACGTTACGACATTGTTAGTCTAAATTTCCACTAATTATATTATATTTCTATTCAATTTAAACCAATAAACTTTTATTCAAAAAGAGTTGAACAAACTCAAACAAACAAAGGCACAAAAAGTGCATATATATCATAATAAGTATTTTGTAGGTGGAGAAAACATAGAATAAAGTAGGTTGTTCTTAAAACAATTTAAACTTGAAATGACAAACATATTTACCATAATACCCTTAATATAATTAATCATGCAACCACCTCACCACGAGGTTGCAAGTAAACACGTAAACCGTTCTTCATGAAAAGCGTCAGCGACATCTTTTGTTCAACGCGGTTACCGGGAACCGGAAATACCCGGTAACGGAGGAGAACGGCTGAAGCCACCGACTTCATCTGAAGGTAAGCCAAGTCCTTTCCCAAGCAAGTCCTTGGTCCGGCGTTGAATGCTACGAACTTGTAACCATCTTTGGGAGTCTCGAACCGTTCACCGTCGGCTGTGAGCCACCGCTCTGGACGGAAATCGAGACAATCTTCTCCCCAAATCGTTTTCATACGTCCGATCGAGTAAATCGAATAGGTCACCGTCGAGCCTCTTGGCACGAAAGTCCCGTCAGGCAAAACGTCATCGTCTACGACGTACTTGAAATCCTGGTCATTTGGAACGTTGCTATACGTTATACATATATAGCTCTTTATTATGAATAAATGATAAGTAATATAATTCTGCTGAGTAATTTTGCGTCATATTTGCCAATTTTGTCTTTGGTAAAAAATAACTCAAATTAAGTAGCTAATTATGATCATAATTATAAGTTTGTAACAGTCATTTGATACTAGAGCCAGCAGCTAAGGGACTAAGAAAAAGAAATCTGTAATATTCAGCTTAAAAGGAAAAACTATGGAATTAATTAGTCAACTAGTCATAAAGATTTATTTCAGGAACTTCTATACAAGTTGATATATATGTTTAGACATAAATCAATATTTATACAATAACTAACTATTTCTTAATTTACGTTTTCTATGAAAATCTCGCCTAGCCATAAGCGTTATAGTTAATGTTTCCATGAATGAAATAATTAAAATTTGAGAAAAAAAAAAAAGATTTTAATTTTTCACCTGAGGCACAGAAGGATATAAACGCAGCGTTTCAGCCAAAGCAGCTTTGAGGTAAACGAGTCTATCTGCTTCGTCGAACTCTAACGGCTCCTCCGTCCATTTTTCCTGATCATCGCCACGTGTCTCCTTCAGAACCGTCGATAACTCGTTAACGATCTTCGTTTCCACCTCCCGGTTATTCATGACGAGCCAGAAGAACCAACTCAAGGCCACAGAAGAAGTGTCACGACCCGCGAGAACAAAGTTAAGCGCGATGCGCTGAAGAACATCTGTCGGAAGAACGTTACCGTTAACGTCACGTTTCTTCAAGAAGCGCGACAAAAGATCATCGGAGGGAGAGTTTTTCCGAGCGTCGATTGCATCGTTCATGTAAGTCTCAACGACTTCAAGACTCTTCTTGAGCTTATCCTCTGATCCAATCCCCATAGCTTTCTGAATTCGCCACAAGAAACCGGTGTAGAGAAGTCGCTTTAAGGTAGCCTCTGTCGCGGTGTCAAAAGCGACAGAGAAAGGATTATCCGGTAGGTCCAGAGAGAGCGTCTCCGGGTCTTTTCCAAAAGTCAGACCACAAATGTTGTCAAAAGTTAACCTCAAAAACAAATCTTGAAGATCAACCGGTTTGTTGTTTTTAACCGCCCGGTCTAATATAAGCCATAACCGGTTCTTGATAGTCCCATTAACCCACCGAGCCATGGCTTGTCGAAGAGTTCTAGTAGTGAACTCAAGCGCTGCAGTCTTACGTTGCATAAGCCACGTGTCACCGTCGCTGTTAAAGATTCCTTGTCCTAACAGGTCGTGGAAAGCAGCTCGCCACATCGGACCTTTCGGATAGTTGTCAAACCGTGTCTTAAGGATATGCTCGACGTTTTTTGGGTGACACGTCACGGTGTAAAACCCTTGCGTCCAGTGGCGGATCCAGGATTTTATTTTACCCAGATCAAAACATAATTAAAAAAATTATTTTTAATACAAAAAAAATCCAACAAAAAGTTCGTCCCAATAAAAAAAAAAGCATCCAACAAAAGGTTCATCCAAAAAAAAAAAACGTCTACAAAAGCATCCTACGATCCTTCAGGTCCTGAAATCTTTTCATTACAGTCTCATTTGTAATAGTCTCGAATACATCTTTCTCGACAAAACAAACTAAACAATCATTCAAAAACTCATCTCCAATCCGATTGCGTCGATGTGTTTTCACGATCTTCATTGCTGAAAAACATCTCTCAACAGTTGCAGTAGCAACATGCAAAATCAAAACCAACTTCAAAAGCCTATAAACCAAAGGACATGACAGATGTTTTCGTGTTTCCACCAACATTCGAGCAAGGTCTCCCAAATTCTTCAAAGTACAAAATCTTTCATCATGTCGGACATTATCAATGTAGATATCTAATTCTTGCTCCAGAGATATGAACTCCCCTGAACTAAAGTCATCTGGGTAGAACTTAGATAACCTCAATAACTTGGAGTGATCAAACTGAGAAAATGCATCAATGGGAGATAAAGAAGCAGCACAAATAAGCAATTCAGTGTTCACCTCATTAAAGCGGTCGTTAAATTCCTGAAGTTGCAAATCCAATACAGCATACAAACAATTGATCTTGTAGTGATGCATATTTGATACTCCTGTTCTTTTTCTTCGTCTCTTTGAGTCAATAAAATCTGCCTCCATCTCAATCTTTTCAATCTCATGTTTGTCACAAAACAAAGAAACTTTCATCATGAGAGAATTCCACCCATCATCCCTAAAATTCTGAAGTTGTCTCTTAGTTGATTTCACCAATGACATAGCATTTAAAATATCTTGATCTCTTCTTTGAAGCGCCATTGACAAGTTCTCTGTGAGTCCTAAAAGGTGTATCATCATTTGCAAATAAAACACAAAATCAAAACTATGAAAGTAGTTAAGGAGACCATGTGCTTGACGTCTTTTCAAGTCATCTACACCTTCATTCTCAATGTACTCGAGAACCTCGACGATACAAGAAAACAACTTAATCAGCCGTAATAGAGTGTTATAGTGAGAATTCCAACGAGTAGTCCCTGGTCTTTGAAGAGAGATCTCTTGATTCAACCCTGTTCCAGTACTGATTTCACCATTATTAATTTCTTCCTGAATCTTTTTTCTGTAACTCTCTCGGATCATATCTTTCCTTTTGCAAGAACCTCCCACCACATTCATCAACAGAGAAATCTGATCAAAAAAGTCTCCAACATTAAAATGTTTTTTTGCAAGTGCCACAACAACCAATTGAAGTTGATGAGCAAAGCAATGAACATAATATGCTGATGAGTTTTCCCTTAGAATTAATGATTTAAGCCCATTGAACTCGCCCTTCATATTACTCGCTCCGTCATACCCTTGTCCTCTTACCTTTTTAATGCTCAATCCATATTTAGCAAACAAACAATCAATAGCAGATTTCAAAGATGCTGCAGATGTCTCACTCACATGTGTAATACTCATGAATCTCTCTTTGACTATCCCACCTTTATCAACGAATCGAAACACTACTGCCATTTGTTCTTTATCGGAAACATCAGCTGATTCATCTACCAACAAACCGAAAACATCATGATCTATTTCTTCAATAATAGATTTGATAACTTCTTCTGCAAAACAATGCACAATATCTTTCTGGATCTTAGGAGAAGTCATTTGATTATTTCCAGGAGCATTATCTAAAATAACCTTACTCACTACTTCGTTCTGATCAGCTGTGTACTTCAGGAGTTCCAAAAAATTTCCTCTATTAGTAGACTTTTCAGACTCATCATGACCACGGAAAGGTAGTCCTTGTCGCAATAAGTATTTGGAAGCATCAACTGAAGCATTCAACCGAATTCGATACTCATTTCTTGTGATATCATCTTGTTTATGCAAAGCATGCTCAATAGACTGCCGTTGTTTCATTAAATTTTCACACTTCATAACAGCATTGTTGTGAAAACTATCAACACCTCCCACATGTTCTGAAAAACTCTTGAAATTGTTCCACCTAGAGAATCCTTCTGTGATAAATGCATCACTTCTTACGTTTTTACCAGAATTATCTCTGAATAAGTAACAACACATGCAAAAAGCTTTATCTTTTTTTACACTATACTCTAACCAGTTTTTATACCGATCAAACCAAGCTGGATTAAAACGCCTCCATGTCTTTCCTATCAATGTTTGTTTAAAAATATGCCCACGAGGTTGACAAGGACCTCTAATCAAGTATCTTCGAATTACCTCATTTCTTTGATTAGGATGATAATCTGCTATTCTTTTTCGATCAGCAGGATCCCAAAATAAAGTAATATCATTTGGTTCACTGTGAGGTGGAGATGGTTCTATTGGGTTGTAATATCTTTTCATCGCTTCGTCTGAAAACAAATTACGATAAAAAAAATTGTCAACATTAAATAAATTATAATTATATGTCAAATGAATTATGACACTGGTAATTTTCTACGACTAATAATTTTTCTCCAAAAGATTCATACCAATTTAGAACATTATATATTTGATTTTTTTTTGTCAAGTGTTGTTAGATAAATATATTTCTAAACAATTGAAACAACATTCTTCTCTAATGTTAATTAATTTCTTTTTTACCAAATCTTTAGACATGATCAAACAACGAAACAATGAAGAATCGTAATTATTCATACTAGTTTTCAATAAAGCTGATTTTAAATATAAAAGATAACAATATTACATATTTATAAGAAGAATTCTAATTCATTAATCATGATCATTAAAATTGGATCACAATTACAAATCGTTCATCTCTTAAACTTCATAGATTGTATTGTAATTCTAAGTATAATTAAAACTTGAATAAAAATTAATGATTACAATTGTACAAAAAGTCTATTTTTCTAAATTATGAACTTACTTGAGTAATCGACTTTGGAAGAGCACACCGGCACACCGGCACACCGGCACACGTGAAGAAGAAAACTGTAAAGTCACGTTCTCCTTAATTCAACTCAAATTGTTGGCAAAGTATAATAATTAGGTTAAAGATAAGGGCCAACTTTGTTTCTAAATTCTAATTTAAAGTAAATGAAATAAATTTAAGCCTTCTTTTATTATGGGCTATTGGGCTTTTTACGTAACAAAATTTGGGTGGGTCAAATTATTAAGGTTATGTCATTAAATCAAATTGAGCTGGATATTTGTATGCAAAACCTATATATATACTTAAGAAATTTTAAAAAATTGGGCAGGTCAACTGACCACCCATTAATACAAGTGGGTCCGCCCCTGCTTGCGTCTTGGCCACGAAAAAGGTATCACCATGGTGCATGTTTGATACGTACCACTAGGGATGTCAATTGGGCTATCCAAGTCCAAATGGGCCGGTCCAAATGGACAGTTCCGTTTATTTGGATACTGACGGTCTAAGCCCAAATAGGACCATGTCCAAATAAGGCCAGATCAAATAAGACAATGACCAACTAGACAGTCCATGGGGCCCAAATAATAAAATTTTCTATTTCCCGCCAAAACCGCAAAAACATATTTTCCCTCAAAATCGCAGAATTGCATTTTTTCGCTAAATCGTAAAATCACATTTTTCCGAAAAAAACTGTAAAAATATTTTTTGGAGTGAAAATGCCAGTGTAAATCCTAATTTTTAAAAAAATAAAGAAATTTTTTTTTCTCCAAATTAATAATCCTAATTTTTAAGGCTTATTGGACGGCCCATGTCCAGATAGGTTCGGCCCATTTGTTTGTAGACTAAATGGGCTTCTAGCCCATATGGACCGCTTCGAATTTGGGCAAATTTGGACGTGACCAAATCCGGACCATTATAATTTGGACTGGTCTTGCCCATGGTCACGAAGCCCATTTGCCCAGTTGCTCGGAGATTATCAGCGATCCAATCGTGAATTCGGCTCCGGTTTGCGATTAGATACGGTAAGCTTCCTACGAACGGTAAGACTTTGGGACCGGTTAGTCTTCGGGACAGGAAGTAGAACCAAAGAGCGTAGACTGATAGGGCGGCCACGGCGTAGCCGGTTAAGATAGGGTTTAGAGCTACCATTTTCCCGGTTTAGGCTTTTTGTTTTTGTTGTATGGAGAGATTGTTGAGAGACAATATATGATGAAGGAGAGGTATGTGCGTATATATATAAATGTAGAAATCATAGATATTTATAATATTGGCTATAGTAAGAAAGGTTATATTTTGTTTCAATTAGGAGTAAGTAGTTGGGAAAATTAAATTTTGGGTCGATAAGATAAGACTATTGCGAGTATAGTTTGGCATAATAGAACACGAAAGCTAATTAATTTTCCCGTTACAATTTAATTATAATTATTATTTTTTCTTTTGAAGCATCATAAATATGTTATGTAACATGCTTAGCTATATAAAAACGAGCTACTAAATGACAATATTTCGTGAAGACATTGATGAACTCGAATTTCAAGATCAAAAATTCCATAATCTTTGCAATGTATAACCGAAAATGAAATAAGCATTTCAAAAGTTTAATGTCTTTGTTTTTAAATAATCGTAGAAATTTAGTTATAGATATGAAATAAGCCTAGCAACGAGATCTTTCTTCGAGAATAAAGATTTGGTCAATGGCAGTTAGCCCATTCTAAGAAACTGGGTTTACTTGGAGTCGAACACTTAAAAGTTAAAACATAATTGTGACTAAAACATTTGGAAAACAATTAAATACACTACATATATAAAGTACAAATTAAACTACTATAACAGATGATATTGACAAAATTCTAAGAGAACGCAACGGAAAATATTACCAAAAATGGTAAAGATCATACATATGTGTTTGAATTCGGACGGTTACTATAGTCATTATGGTTCAAATTTTATTCTTTTTTATTCGTCGCCTTATACGCTTCATTGTTAGTAAATTAATTAGTAAGAGTTT